ATTCCCGGCATAGCAGATCATATGGTTATCTGATTCAAAATGCCCAAAACCCATTCATTTCAGCTCACTAATGCCCAGGATATCAATCTTAAAGCGTTCTATTTCATTTTTGGCAACTTCCAATTTTCCTAGATTCATATTTTATACATTCCGTGTTCCAATTATTAACGGATGTTTGCAGCTGTTTCTCCTCAATTTGTGTCATGTCAGCACATGGAGGTCCTGAAAGACTTACTTTATTCATATCATTAAGGTTGGTTCTACTCTGATGAGGCAGCTCTTTCCCAGTCTTATTTTGAGTGCCTTGTTGCCCAAAGAGCTCATCTTCCTGCATTGTGTTAGACATTGTTTCCAAGCTATTCATCAAGTTGCCCAGTAATGTATCAGACAGTGTTTCTCTGCTATTCACAAGGTTTCCCCTGGCCAATTTTTGAGAAGTGGGCGGCCTCCTCCTTCTTCCTAGTCTGTCTTAGTCTGTAACCTGCATTGAAACCTGTGCACCATGTGCAACTCTGCTGGCATCTGAAACACCAGTGGCATAGCCTCAAGCCTCACAACAATGTACAAGCCTCACAGTATGACAAGCTGACAGGTAAGTTTCTCTTCCTTAGCTGTTGGAAACCTCTGTACCCTCAAATTACCTAATTCCTACCTGGACCTGCCACTCAGTGGTCTCCCTGGCTGGTCCCTCCTTTTCCTGGCTCTAGAGGGCTTGGGGCCTGTCTTGCCTCCCTCCCATTTACCTGGATATCCTGCTCCTCCTGAGGTCCCCAAGGCCACTACTGCTCCCTCCCTTTCCTGACCCTAGGGGGTTTGGGCCCTATCCTTGCCTCCCAGCCCTTTTACCTAGATATCCTCCTGCTCCCTCCCTTTTCATTCATAGTGAAGAATTATCACTCAGCAACAATAAGTCAAAATTCTGATTGACTTTCAAAAGTCAATTTCAAAAATGGATGCTCTGAGAAAAACACTCTTTAATGTAACAAAGGGTTACAAGCTAGTCATAAAGTTGCCCAGTAATGTATCGGACAGTGTTTCTCTGCTATTCATAAAGTTTTCCCTGGCCAATTTTTGGGAATCCTTCTTCCTAATCTGTAAGCTGCATTGAAATCTGTGCACCATGTGCAACTTTCTGTCCCTCTAAACTATAAACCTCATGATGGATGCTTAAAAAATAAAAAAAATAAAAAAATAATCAGTGAGTTGGGAGTTTATAAACCCATATCAAACCCACCTCACTGAGTCAATTCTGACTTATACTGACCCTACAGGACAGGTGGTTATGCCCCAACCACCAAAGCCACAGATGAGGAAATTGAAGAATTTTATCAGCTTCTACAGTCTGAAATTGACCAAACATGCAATCAGGATGTGTTAAT